GTGCACGCGAGATACAAGACCAACCCAAGTGGCAATTTTGAGGAGTAGTTATAACAAAAATAAAATCGCTTGAACTGTCTTTGGCAAGATGATGAATGCAATAATTCAATTTAAAATATCAAAACCAATACTGGGCCAACCTAGCTAAAGTGCACAATGACAACGATTTGACGAATCAGCTTAATTCATAGTAAATTAGTACCTATAATATATATATATATATACAAAATAATATAGTATAGTTTATACATAGGTAGTTTAAACTTTAAAGTCACAACGCAGCTACGCGAATCCTATAGAGTATTGACCGGCTTAGTAAAATTAGCAAAAAGACACAATTATTCCAGTCACCTATATTTTTGTATGTGTAGTGTTATATACCTTCACAGGTAGGTATAAATAATTTATGCATATACATATTTTAAATCACGCAGGGACACGGGAAATAATTTGATACACACATAATGCATTTGTCATATTTGTGACGTATACTAATATAAAAGCTACAAAAATTCCTACACATTTTTTTTGTATTTTAAACACTAAAAGTAATATAATTATGTAATTAGATAACATAGAATTTTCACAGCCAGCTACACTATATAAAAACAATTTTCGGAGTAGATCATTAAAAGTTAACTATAGCTCGTGTAAATCGAGTTATAACAGCCTTGCAATAATATATAAACCTATTTTATGGTTCAGAATTATTATATTATGGTCTTGTCTGAATTGATACCTAATTTATTATAACTATTACACCATTTGTAAACTTAAATAAATTAAATTGTGCAGCACATGAAATACGTTTTTAGCAGTATTCTAAACAGATTATGTTTCTTTAGTATGTTCTGGATTTCAAATTTTTTTTATAAATCGATGTATTTGAGCAACTCTAAGTTCTAGGTTTAAACAAGTTTATAGAATAATATAGAAAATAACACAATTTGTAGGCGCATGTAACAGTTTAAATAAATAAATATGAATACACGTATTAGAACTATCAACTAGGTACGTTTCCTTTGAGTCCTGGACCTACAATTTCCCGACAGTTTCAAGTGAACAATAACGACATGGATTATATTACATAATACATAAATAAATAAGTGGGCAAAAGTCTCCATAGCATAAAATCCTTATAAAATTATAAAATTGAAAAACAAATATTGTTAGTAAGTACCTATAGGTACAAACTATAATACTATACATAACCTACTTATACATCATAATGAAGTGTTACAATGAAGACAAATATTATTCTTTTGTTCTATCGGAAAGTTACCTATATATTTATATTTTAATATCATATAATAATTAGACCGCTGTGAATATTTTATCTTATATATAGTTTCATACATTTATAATTTATAAATTAATTTCTGTTAACTATTCAATACCGTAATTATTCTAGCCTAAACACAAATAACATGTGCGCAGTGGCGTATTCAGGGGGGAGGTTGCCATAGTTCTCCTTTTTATGTGGTGAAAATTTCGTTTCTCAGTTATGACTGTAACCTTCCTTCTCGGTTCTTTCCCGGGCAAAACAGTTTTTGCTATGTTTTAAAATTGTAAGACGGAGACCACACATGAAGGTGTAGCGTCCTCTCAATTAATCTTAAAAATTTCACAAATCAGAAATTGAAAAAATACATTATTAAAGGATAGCATTGGGGAAGGGGGGATGAATCATGGTACAATTCCACAATAGATTGTCGCGAGTGCATAAGTATGAGTATGCACACAATTCAATATTACAACATAGGCCAATACCCAGTCGCAACTACAAAACAAAGAAGTTATCCTTTACACAAAACAGAAAATTAGACGTAAGTTCGTATACTGCACACAATACTAGACAGTAGACATAATAGTAAACAATGGAATAATAGTATGAGACGGAGCACGGGTTCAACGGTATTACCGTTGGAATTGGTATATTTGCTAGCATTGCTGAAAAATACCGTTTTGGGTATTTAGACGTAACTTATATACTAAATATTATTTACGTATAGCCGTGTTGGTACACACTTAAACTGTATATAAGTACACATAATAATATTCTTCCTATTCAATTCAATATCGTCGAACGACTTGAGTGCAAGGACATAATATATTATCTCTCTGAATAATCTTGACCTCGTTTTGGTACTCCGAGATCATTAAACCTACAGAGAGTTCTTTCATTTCTTTGGGAGAAAGTAGACATAGCTAGAATAGCAGCGATCCGGTTCAAATAGCGGTGCATTTATTTTTAAAGTTTTCTAATTTTTGAGAGAAAAAATGACAATTTGTTTTCTACGGCTGTGTACCAATACGCGCAATGAAGTCATAATTTAATCCCGCCATCTATATATAGGAATATACTACCTTCTGTATACTATTATATTATTTTATACGTGCATACACACAAATACAATTATATATTACAACAATTGACAAATATAGATGTAAATTTAAATGCATTAATATTCCAATGAATTTCTTATGAATATCATGAACAAATTGTAAAGGTAATATAATAAATAATAATATTTGAGTGATATTTTCGTGATTCTATAATATATTATACCAATTCGTATTTGCACATTGTCGTACGAATTGTTTATCACGTGCAAACTTTTAATATGATACCGATCTTTGATACGCATAAGCGTTGTTACTTGTTAGTGAATATTTTTTAATAGAAGTACTACTTTTCTAATATGTTATAATTCTATGAGAACTTTATTATTTAGTATTATATATATTTATAAGAGAGAAAGGGATTCATTCTACTTTAGTACATCCAAATTGAGACTTAATCAAATAATAGGATTTATGCAAAACGAGCTTTGAACATAATATAGTTGTCTATTATATATATTTGGGATAGGATTTATGAAAAACAATTTTGAACATAATATTAATATATAATATAATATTATCTGATACCTATACAGTAGCTGTTGAAATATTGTTTAATTAACATAAAGATAAATGATATTTTGCATGATATTTGCTTGAAACACGTATAAAAATTAATTATAACGGTATGTCGGTATAAAAGATACATTGTATAAAACATATTATCTGTGTATATAAGGTGAAGGTATATAGCAATAGGTATAAGGTACATTGAACCGCATATAGTCATGTAGACCGCAGGGAACCCGTACTTATCGATAAATTTACCCCACGCATGGTCGGTAAAAATAATATTTGTACTGCAAATTTTTAATTGTAATTGTACGTAAAATTAATTTGTGATACCAATTAAATTGTAATATATGATTAAATATTATTAATTAATGATTTACGACAAGTTTTAGGATCATAACCATTATTATTATAAAATCCGTAGGTAGTTATAATATCGAGAACCGCTATATTATAATATTATAAGAAGTACAAAGCATTAAACATAGAATATCGAAAACTTGAAAACATTAAAATAATCACATATAATGTATGAATTACATACAAAATTATAAAAAGATATTCTTAATATATTATAATTTATAAGTATATTTGGTCATATTTCGAATTTTAATTTGGTATTTTTTATGTGGTATACCTATTAGGCTGGTGAAACAGGTTTTTTTTCAAAATGTGCACTTAGAATTTACCTAGCCTTTTTCCCCTCTTTATAAAAATAACCTCCATTACCTGTAACTTGTAACCAACAGAAAATCAAACGACGAAAACCTGTTTTAAATATTCGACGTCGGAATTAAAAAAAAAATACCAATAGAAATGTTGATAGTTATTGTACATGGTATAATTATATATAAATACAGCAGGCGAGGTTCTAGAATCTAGGACTACAATTTCGTATGGGCAACAGTAGATTTATAATTAGGTTTTAACTGCGAATAATATTCCTCATTTCCTCCCCCGTCCTCAATAAGGGGCACCAGAAATTTTTGTATGGGCAGCTGCCCACCCTGCCCATACTCTAGAACCGCCATTGAAATATAGGGTGATTCACACAGTATGCTTATCCACATTTTTACTTTTAATAATGAATTTATTCTTATTCGAATGTTTAAGAATTTAAAAAAAAATCAATTGTCAATTTACAGTAAAAAAGGTGATTTTATTTGAAAAAAAAGTTTGTGTAGCTGTGGCATAAAAAATCTAAATAATTCTTAAGTATAGACAGTGTATACTTAAGACAACTAAGTTAGAATTAAAAAAAAATCACAACTAAGGGAAACAATGGGAGTATGCTAGCATGTAAGGTGAATCACCTTGTATATAAACCAGTTTTTTAGATTCGATATAAGTCTTAAAAATGTCCACGAGTTTAAATTGTTATACCAAGTGTAAGACTATTTTTGTGAACAAGCGTTTTTCCGAATAAAATAGGAAGGAATCTCGTATATTATTGTTTAAATATAAACCGAGGTGGCAAGGAGTGCTCGGTACAAAATCGTTTTTCAGATGTTACAACATTAAAATTCAAAGACACTTGGCAAAATGCAATAACCTATTTCAACTTTTCAATCTAACTTTATTGCTACATATTATCATATCAGAGCTTAATCGAAATATTTTTTCCTCTTTCATTGATTAGAAGTGCATTAGTTTTATATCACAACACATATAATATGTACCTACTATCAGTGGCGTGGTGAGCACATTTCAAACCCTAAGAAAAATATTTAAACGATGACCTACGCACTACCCTCTACTACATAATACATGATTTTAAGCTTTATGAAAATTTAGAATTTTTGTTATAGGACCACGTCAATAATTTAGTATGAAAAAAATACTAGAATAAATAAGTAAACATACACACTATATAAATTAAAAAAAAAAAAAAAACAAATAAATGTCTAGGGCTGAGTAATAAAATTGCATTAGGTACACGTCGTTTACCACGCCACTGTCTACTATGATCATACTATAAGTTAAAAAAATGTTGACCACGTTTTTAAAATGTTAAATCGTCACAGACATGAAATAAAAAAAATATCTAATAAATAAACCAGACTGTTAAACGATATTATGTATGATTAGACCACGTCACTTGTGGTTGAACAACTCCCACCAGCCACGAGAAATACTGCAGCGGCGGCGTCGTCGTCGATCCAACGGTTTTCATGTAGCGGTAGCGGCGGGAACCACGCGTTATAATAATAATAATATGAATGTATCATTGAAGAATCAAGTTTAGCTAGCCAGTCGGCGGCCGGCGGTTCAGTTGGTTCATTAAACTTACCGAGCGGCGTTACAATATTAATATAGTATATGATAGACATCACGTGTACAATAAAATAAAAATTATACTATACTTGTTCGAGTTTTGGTCGTAGTGTCGTATACATTTATTAACAACACCCGCGAGTGTGCGTCGTAGTATACCTGCGTATATAAGTGATGTACATCGAATAATGTAAAAATATTATTTTATTAGTTTTCATCAACTCGCCACGAAAATCCACCGGATACACTATAATAATACAATTTCAGTTAAAGGAAAGAAATTCGATTTTAGCCGACAAATGATGACCCCTCCTCTATCATTCCGGACTAGTTTGATTTTCGCCACAGCTGTCGTTTGCGTATTGATTTCGCTGTTGCCCAGTAAGTAGTTCAGCACATAGATATTGTTATAATTGGTTTTTGTTTTTTACATAAAGAATCTATTACCTGGTTAAATATATTAATATTTTTTTGTGCCACTTCATAATATATTACCTGTCTCACCACGAGTAAATAAATCCGTATGCTGCCTACTATAGTATTTCTAGATCAGGGTCACGCGGTCAAAATAATACATGCGCTCAAACGTAAAAGCATCATTTTATAATATATAATTGAACTGCAGCAGACCTTTTAAAAATTTAAAATAACTGATTATTCGTAAATAAAAAGTAAATTAGGTACACAGTTCATTCAGACAAAACATTTGACAATTATAGGTAGGTATTGGAAATAAATAATAATAGAAAGTTTAAAATAACTTTTTTTTAAGTTGGACACTTTTTGGTATCATCCAAAATATGAATAATAATCGTCGGATAATTTTTTTTATTATATCTATATTTTAATAGAAATATTAGACATTTCTTGGAAATTTTAGTTGATTTAATAAATCGACGAGGAAAAAGTTTAACCAGCAAAGACGCAGATGACTGCAACTATATATAATATATTCAGTAACGCGTGCAAAGTATTTCATCATTGCGTCCTCCGTATATGATAATACAATTATTGTGGCAGAACTCTATGGCTCGTATTACAATAATAACATTAGTTATAATAATTGTCCACTGGTAAACTCCTACGCGAATATATTGTGATTCGCGAATAAAAAAAAATAGGTAAAATCAGAGATATTACTCATGGTATTTATTGATAAAAAGTACACATTATTGTGTTGTGGACGATGATTATAATTTTATGACGAGATTTTCCTATTTGAAACATCTAAAATGACCAAAATCGTCGGTCGAAATTTAGTTGACAAAATAATATATATATTGCCATGGTTTATTAGAAAACAATTTTATAATTTTAAACATTGTAGGAAAGGAAATATCTAACGACGCACAGTATCACTGGCAATGCTATATCGCGGTGGTCTTATTACAATTATTAATATACCTATACCTATTATACATCGCCGATCTGTATTGCTCAAAATCGTACAGTCGGTGATAATTCCATACGATAACTTGTACGTGTTTCATTGGTATATACAGGGTGTAATGGGACTATTTGACAAATATAGTAACTTTGTAATGGCAATTTGTTAAATAGTCTTGTTACACCTTATATACTGTATAGTAAATCATACTATTATATAATGTTTTTAGCGTATCGGAACTGGACACTGGAGCCAGAATCAAATACGATAGCAGAGATTAAAAGAAATACCTCCTATAATATTATACTCAACTACACTTATTTAAGATTATGTTCAGACTGTATCATTACGCAGCCTTAAGAGGATGTCAGCACAGTATTGTTATCTCTCTCCAAAAACATAATAATGATTATAACCATATTAATTTCTGAAATTAGAGTGAAATTACCTCCCATAAAATTTAAAGGTAAGATCATTATCCATGGCATCTCATAGGAGTTTTATTATAATATTTTAGTTTTAAAGCGAGTTAAGAGTATTTTAAGATGTACAAGCAATTTTAAATTTTAAAATAATCATAACTAGCTTTAAAATTAAAATATAATAAAACACTTACGAGTTGCCCTAGATAAGAATCTTACCTTTAAATTTCATATTTATATTAAATTTCTAATTTGAGAAATTAATATGATTGTAACCATTATTGTGAACGTAAAATTTGCTATGTTGCGCGTGGGTCAGAGAGAGAAAACAAATACTGCTCTAACATCCTCTCAAAGTTTTGATAATTTTATACTTATTTCTAACTATTATTAACACATATATAAATGTCAATATACATAGACACATTGAGCATAATATCATGTGTGGCTATCTATAGGGTATCTATTAGGTACCTAATAATAATTATTTCCAATCCATTTTCAAGTGTTACTATCATCATTATTATTGTTGGTAACATAAATATTACATATACATATTGCACAAAGAGAGTTTAGTTTAATTGCAAGTTAAAATAATTTTATAACGATATTTTTAAACGATAACAAATTTCGTTACAATTTACAATTTAAAATTAGCGACAACCTAAGTTATTAGAATATATAACCAATTAGGTAAGGGCTTAAATGGCCATAAGTTAATAAAAAAAGATTAATGGTATAATCTATTTATGATCCATCATTTAGAGTTTATTGATAAATATTTATTTTTCTTATCGGTAAAATGTTTCAGTTGTTTTTCTTAGTGAACTGAAAAATAATTCTAAAAAACTAAAAAAGGTTAAGATTTAAATACAGAAAAAAGGTATCCCGAGTAGATTTTCAAAGCCAAGGGCGTACGACAAATTAATAATAAATGCAGGTATAGGTATATAAAACATAAACCACCAACTATTTAGTTTTCATGACATGTAAACAGCGAACAATGCGCGCACATAATTACGTATTGTTCTAAAACTAGTTCTAACCACGATCAACGTTTAGATTAAATAAGTTTTTTTTAATGACAAGACATTAAGTTTGGGATTTGACGTGATAATTGATCGCAATAATGGCATCTGTGACAGTTATTGTAATATTGTGAATTTAAGCAAAAATAACGAATGTCCAACATAATTTTCACCAAGGTCTAACCGCACGAAGTAAGGACTTGAAAAATTAAATGTTTACTGTACAAATAAAACTATATTATGCAAACTGAACACGGAAATATATTCATTATATATAATTATAAAGATGTAAGAACTCAGTGCAAGTTTTGATAAAACATCAAGGGATGGGGAAGAGTTGAATTAGTATAATGGTACAGACAAATCGTCGTTATTCTCTTGTCAAATACTGTCCAAGAGGAAATACATACTTTTTATTTTTGTTATTTTTTAAGACTTTAATAATATTTAGTATTTAACATTAATAATTATTTTTTAATATCGACATATGTACCTATAATAAAATACATTAAGCAAGTACCAAGGGGGGTCAACACCATCACCCTCCTTAAACAAACTCTGATAGAAGTATAGAACTATATATACATATATTATAATTAACTTCAAACGGATTATACAATATCACAACATTAGGTATGAAAACTTATTACTTATGCGTAATAATCATTAGTAACGAATATTACCTTTTATAGTGCATTGAATAACTAAATACAATAGTTATATCAAGTAAAGTTATAGTTAAGTAATAAATAGTAGTCGAATTAACAATAATCATTTAACAAAAACATTAAGTTATTTCAACAATATTTAATGTATAAAGCTGTCACGTAATATATGATTATAAACTACGATTATATAAAACATCAAAATAATCAGATAACTGAATTTTTTTCCGTGTATAAATTTGTATGTTTACAATAACATTAAAGTAATCAATATTCAATACACATATAACCGTTTAGGTATCTGATATACTCTTGAACAAGATGATTAGTTTATAAGCCTTAAGCAATCGCAAGATTCTTTGTGATACAGTTCCATATATATTTGAGAAAATCGTAAAGAGAACAACGATTGTATCTAGCGCAGAACAAAATGGCTATAAATAGGTATATAATATAGATACATGTAACCCAATACGAATTGTAATTATAAGTTCCTGAAATGCACGGTTAATCCTTTAAGGTCAGCGAAGAGTTTAAATAAGTTTGATTCCATTGAATACGCGTTATAATAGGTATAATAATGGAAAAAACGACTGGTGCGAGAAGAGAAAATTATCTATGTAATTCAATTTAATTATTTTTTATTTTTTAAAGATGCTAATGGTCAGATAGATTGCTATGAGTGTACAGTACATCCACCAGAACCATATATGAACCTAACGACCAGACTGTGTTCGAAATTTGATGGTTCCGATCACTACAAAGTACACTGTCCCAATTCGACGTATTGCATGAAGAAATCGTTTCAACTTGAACTACAGGCCGGAAGTACGTACAAATTATATACATAATTTTGAAAATAATATTATACCCGATCGAATTATATTACAAAATATCATCCGTATATTATAATACTATTGTAGGTATTTTTTATTAACTCATGGTTGTGAATTCAATGCTGCACTTAAACGTTAAAATATTAAATAAGCATCACTTGTGTACTAAAAATTGTCAAAATGTAAGAATTAAAATAATATGCAAAAGTATGAAATTTAAAATAAAAACTCCGAATTCTCTTTTTAATTTAAAATTATTAATGAACAATTATTAGATAAATATTTTAAATACACAATAAAGTGAAACTTTCACATAACGAACTTTCATTTAACAAAATGTTTGTATTAAACGAAATATTTTTAAGAACTAAATTAAATTAGAACTGCATTTAGGTATTAAATTATACTTAACAAAATTCTCTATAATACTATTTTAGACTCTGAAGGAGAGAGGAAACTATTGGTTTTACAATGGTGTTTTTTTTTATATATATCCTGTATAAAAAATATCTATCAGAAGGAGTGCTTCGATTTCAACATATAGTACCTTATCTTTTAGCAAATTGGATCAAGATGGTACTTTAGAAACGTCATTTTTCGATTTTCTCAATAGTTACTTAATGCCACAGGAAAAACCACCGGCAAATTACGAAAAACCGATAAAAATGGGATTTTGATTTCTAACGCTTTGCTTATCACCATAGAAACGAATAAAAAATAATAATACATTAATTTATAATATAAATTCAACTTACAGGATATAATAAACAATAACAATATCCAAACTGACAAACCGTCTCCGCTCAGAATCGTTTTCTTATACAATGATATATTATGTCATTGAATTCAAGTTTAGTACAATCCTTTATACATTGACCCAATTGTAACCTACTGTACAGCAGAGCGACATCCACATACCCACTTTTTTATTTTTTTTGCTGTTAAAACACCAAAAAATACTAAATAGAATTTCGTACATGCACACAATAAAAAAAGTAGGAAAAATTAAATTCAAATACGTAAATTGAATCTACAGCCTTAGTTATATTATTACGACTAAGCATTATTGATTAATTGTTTATAATATGTATATACAGAAATCGTCAAAGGAAATGTGAGGGGTTGTGCGCCGCAGAAATACGATTATCAGGTTTACAAGAACGGGTCGTGGAAAGTCGAGTCGGCCGTCGAGTACGACTCGTTCAAAAAGGGATGCTTTTCCGGCAACGATGACCAACTGAGGACGGCGGATACGCAGTTCTGCTACTGTGACGATAACCTTTGCAACAACGCCAAACAGACGACGAACTTTTCAAGTCACACTGACACTATCGCCGTGATCATAATTTACAATATCATGAGGTTTCTGAAAACCCACACGCAACCCGCGTAACGATAGCGTTTCGAATATACAACGCGCGGTGCGGCGTCTGCATATTATGGAAATCTTGGCCAATTGTACAAAGACTAATACATTTTAAATGAAAAAAACGAAAAATGCTAAAAAACAACACACGACGCGAATGTGAATATTAGTATTTTTTTGGTTTTTAACTATACTTAATGGACTCACGTCCAAAATGTACACTGTTATTTTATCGAGTATCGTTATAATATTATAATAATTTATTAAATAACTTTTTGATTTAAATCTAGAATTATCTATATCTATTTACCAAGAACAGTAGAGTAATCATAGACTTTTATACGCGCAAATAACACTAATTAAATTGGTACATTATGATAATAATATATTTAGATTATCTTTGATCATCGACTATAGAAGTTATAATAAATTATAACGGAAAACTACGATAAAAAAAAAATCATAAGAGTAATTTAAATAGTTTTAAACAAGACTTGGCTGTGTTTATTTTTAGTGTTAAGTATACACGTTAAATGTGTAATTGTTTTTTAATCCTACAGATATAATACCTCTACTATACTACAAAGTGAATAATTACAATGTACCTATACAATTTATTCAATAAAATATGATGTAATTGAAGAACGAGTATTTCTACTTTTTATAACACATTTTTATATAGGTATTCCATACGGAATAGGTAACCTTGTTCAAATCAAAAAATAAAACCAAAATAAAACCCATACTAACCGTGAATTACCTATACTCTATAGTTATTAAACGTATAGACAAGTTTTGTAAATTTCATCAATAAGTAATACTCACATGGTATTGCATTTTTAATAACGTTGAATAATTTTAAAATTTAGACTGGGCAACAAAAATTATGTTCAAATACCATTTTTGAAGTATTGAGATATATTATTATATAAAATGAGAACGAGATTGAGTTCCCAATAATTATTGAAAGGTTAAAATCGCGCAAAATTATAACATGATATCAATCAGTCCTTTCTCGCTTGCTCAGTACATCATAAGATAGGTAGTAGGTAACTCAGAAACTTTTAATTGAAAAAAAGTGGGAAGTTGATAACCGCACTGCTCCATTACGGTTAAGCCGGATTCACAGCTGCGTCGTGGGTCAAGTCGTGTCAATCAAATCGTACTGTGATTGGATATTACTTTTTTGGTATCATGTAATAAACAAGTGGCATCCGAGTACGACACACGACGTAGCTGTGAATGCGCCCTTAGAGTCGAGTATACCTAGTCATGGAGTAATGGATGTGTTAAATTTGAATTCAATGATATAATATCATCATATAAGAAAAAGGATTCTGAGCGAAGACGGTCAGTCAGATTATGATATTACTATATGTATATTTGATAATATTATTGAGAATAAAGTAATTTATATATAACCAATTTACATGGAACCTTGTTTTAAATTTTCAATCCTTAGATATAAAAGTTGAACATTATATAAATTTTTAACTACAAAATAATTATTAAATTTTAAATTTAATAAATGTTGTCAAAATTCAAATTTTAAATGCTTGTAAATGATCCTTTCATATTAAGAGTAAGTCAGTAGAAGAAAATCAAGCAATTTTTAAACTTTAGCATGTATGCAATTAACCAAACTAACCTTTAAATATCCAAACATACCTCTTAATTTGTATACTTGTGCTTGTAGCTTGATTCAATAATAATTATTCAATTAATTTACATTTAATAATTAACAATATGAAACAATACAACTATATTATTTCAAATCATATTTCACTTCCAAAAGTTTTAACCTTTTTTATTTTGCTTTATATAATTAATTAATCTATTTTATGATATAGATAAAATTATATAATATGTACATACCTGCGAACTATGCTCAACTATATATAAGAATACAACATCTTCTCTTTTAAGCCTAACAGCTGAATGCAGAGGGTATTTGGTCTTGCTCTTAAACATGTGGTATAAAAATTGCGCCGACATGTGTACAAAATCATCACTTGTAAAATCATCCTATAAATATTTATAAAAATTAAATTTATTAGAACAATATTAAATGAAAATAGTTAACACATTTGATTGATCAAAAATTTACTAAGAAAATCAAAGTAGCTGTTGTGTTACTATGAGATATGTGAAACTATGAGTATTACACCAGAAAATCATTTATTCATAAAAATACTACATTTGTTGAATATTTTATCATTTTGTAAAAATTAGAAAAACAAATATTCCAAAATAAAAAATATTTTAAAAATCATTTATTCAAAACTTAGTAATTGAAACATAATACTATATTATTAGTCATTACTCATTACTAAAGACCGGATTTATATGTTTTTGCATATCATTACAGGGTCTATGCAGTCTTATGAGAGTAAAAATGTGGACGATTCGTTCAATTCTGAATGCGTATAAAAATGTTTTTTTTTGCATATTTGAGAATATTTCATTGGTTAGAGAATATTTAACCCGTTTAGCATATTTTGGAATATTTTGTAAATTGTGAGAAAAAATTTGTATTTATTTTTAATTTTAATACTACGGTACTTGGAAAAAAATGTTTTGAACATTTACAATTTTTTTTTTTTTATCATTTTGATAAAAATAAAACACGCAGTGTAATCAAGGTTTATCTATGTATATCGGCTGATAAGTTCAACGTATACGTTTATCAAATATTCAAATATCCAAATTTTGTTTTTATGTTTTAATATTATACTGTTATATTTATATTATATTTCAACATCCTACTTTTACTTAAGTGCAATAGTATTCCATTAGGTATACCTAATACGCAACTTTTAATACCTAATTAATACCTCACTATTAAAATATAGCTGAAAAAAATTTTTAAAATGCATATTAAAGCATATAATGATGTTTTTTGCATATTTTTTACAATTTTGAGTGAATATAATGAGAATATTTGAAGGTTTTTTAGAGAATATTTGCATAGAGAATATTTGCATAATATTTTGGGTATTTTAAGAGAATATAAATCCGGTCTTTACTCATTACTAAACACGGGATATCGTGTTTTATATTTATATATTTTGTATTATATTTAGCTCATTTCAATAATTCGATGTAGAATATACTAATGTCCAAGTTAATTATTTTTATCAGTTGGTTAAAAAAATATCTGATAGTTAAATTACTAATTATAATTTATAATAATCAATACTATCATGTATTACAAAAAAAGATAACACATTGGTGAGTGATTGGACATTAGAAGATTAATAGTATAAGTATATTAAATTATTAAACAAATATATTTACTGTTTCTGCTTTAAAATAATAATATAAAAATTAATAATTATTATGTTCATTCTTTACACAACACTTACCCAATGAGCAGATATTAAACTTGAACAATGTTCTTTTAATGTATGAGCTCCAATTTCATCAGCAGTTGTATAAAACTTTACACAGTTCTTAACATTTACCGAGGCCATAAGTGCTTTTTCACATCTATAACAAAGAAAAAATAATGATTAGTTGATTTTTATAAAACATATTAAAATTATAATTATTAGAAAAATAACAAAGTAAAATATTAAAAAATAACATAATCTAATAATTGTAATACACATAACATGGTTAATTATACAGCAGTCCTTAAATATTATTGACCACTGACCAGATTCAAAATGTATAACAGTATACTAATTAGTAATTAATAATCATTTAACAATGGAATAGTTATACATATTATTATAACAATATTGACTTTTTATCAATACGACACATTTTAATCTACATCTGTTACATATTTACATACAGTCAGTTATTTTTAATTCACTCATCATATAAACCTTTGGTGATGCATGCAGGGTAATTATTCACCCCAATCTATTTTAAGTACTCTATAAATTATTTTTCGAACTTTTCATACTCCATGGTATATTTCAGTAATATTCTATATTTTATCTTTTTTCCACATCAACGCTTATTATGGGTGCATATTTAAAAGTTTAAAACTTGATAAAATTTCTGGGGGAATATGTTGGATATAAGAGCCCTGAAGTCAAAATTCTCACCTTGGTGTATTTCAGAAATTTCTTTTAAAATTAGCAAGCCTTTATATGTATTAATAATTTCATTTTAACATTTGTTTTAAATTATTATTTATTACACTATTATTCATTTTCATAACATTATGAATATAATTTGTAACTTGTTCAAAAATATCTAAATAAATAACTTTACACATTTTGTATAAAATTCATTAATTGAATCATTAATTTATTTTAATCAAATGTAATTTGTAAATACTTAAGTACCTAACTGCTAAATAAGTTGATAATCAAAACTGATAAATAATTAGTCGATATTTGTAATGTAATTAAATTAATATTTTTATGATAAATAAAATAAAATGGTTTTCTAATTTTGTTAGCATAATTAATATAATCATAGGATTGGAGTCCAGTCATTATTATCACCGATTTTAAAAAAAGCATTAGACAGTGCCATCCACAGGGGGGGGGCTAATGGGCTGAAGCTTCCCCCCTCCCCATTGCCGTATAATTATTACTTAAAACAAAAAATAAATTTATCAAGTTTCAACTGTCAAATTATAGTAAGCAAGACATAAATTTCATACATGTCTTACCAGAATGAATTCATTTTTGAAAAAACATTGTATTTGCATACCAATTTTCATACATTATCTGTAATTTTTTGGTAAAAGTAGTTATGAACTACTTGTATGAAAGACCTTGTATTAAATTGTCTAGCCTTAGCAATACAGTACACAAATTTAATATTTTATAAGTTTTGAACTACAAATTAACTGTGGTTTTGACAAAATTTGAACTTTAAATACTTATAATAAATAAATAACCATTATGCCTATGTATCGTTAATATTTTAACTATAGTAAAAACTTACATATTACATTTTTAAGATTTTTGACCAGATAAATAATTTTTTATTGACATTTATGGAAAAAAAAAATTTTAATTAATCAAATACAATCCAAGTGAAGACGGTATAACCAAGCTGGTTACCAAACTATTTTAATAAATTTTCATTTTTTTTCTCCAATTATTTTAAAAAGCACTGAGCATTTTCAATTTCGACCTCCTAAAAGTACCAACAACTAGATCCATTTTGCTTAAAAAAACATACATCGGGCATCGAAACTTATGATCAGAGCATTTTTTCTACTAGAAAAGTTGAAAAGTTACAAACATTTTAAAATACCTCAAATAAACGTCTGAAATTAAACTGGACAAAATAATAATAAAATTGTAACTAATTTTCAAGCCCCCCCCCTACCATTGAAAAATCCTGCGTACGCCACTGGTATTAGACACTAATAACCATTTACTAGATACTAGAACATCTAGGTGTTGAATACCTATTACATGTTTAGATTAAATCACAGACTACAGGCAGGAAGCAGTTTGTCAAAGTAAATACCTGGCGTCTCATCTCGTGTAATTGATGTTTCTTTGGGGTCCTTCATTTAAGGCAGGCATATCATTTCTTTTTACTATTCTCCCTTTTTATTAATTTTTTCCTCAACATCTTAGCAGGGCCAAATTCATTATTTTTGCTGATTAAATTAAAATACTTTTTAAGACTCAGCGACCAACTGTTTCTACGGTTTTATTTTCTTTTTAGGTGGACCCGTTTAGGACTTACTTTAAGTATGGACAAATGCTTTTTAATTACATCCTATAGATCGCATGTACTTTCTAAAAGAACTAATTCTATCAATAGCTGCCCACTTGCTAGTATGACTCAAACAACAAACCTTGGTATCCATTAAACAGCTTCCCCCCTTTTTTTTTTTTGATATGTACTGACTTCACGGTAACACACACACATTCATCAAGTGTAACAATAAGTTCTTCACCACAACTACTTCACCTTTGTTCCCACTACATTGATCTTTTACTGTCAATTTAACAGTAGAATGGCATTCAAATTATGCAAAAGACCAACAATAGTCTAGAACGAGTAGAAAATCGGTTTCTCTTCTTTTAGCATTTAAACTTAATATTAATATGCCTTTCCATGATTACAACCTACGGTGTTATATGTTTAATATCCCTTAGGTCTTTTCTCTTTCTTCTTTTAATCAATTGTTGATATTTTGTCGTATTTCCAAAACGAATAACCGTAGACTCTTGAAATGTTCACCAAATATTTATATCAGCATTTTCCATACATTTTTCAAACTAGTTTTGAGCTATTTAAAGCCCTGAAATATTTTTAATCTTTGTTAATTTGTCAACTATTAAATTTGATTATTTATAAAAGTATGCTAGGCTGACACAACATCTCCGCTCAGAATCGTTTTTTATATTCTATGATTTCTCATTGAATTCCAATATAACACATTGACATGCTCGACAACTACTGCACAGCAAAGCGTCTCCCACTTGTCCCCCTTTTTTGAATGTGATACTCTGAATATTATAATTTTTAAGTATTCACATTATTCTAATGTAGAAATATATCTATAATTAGTTATTCAAAGAAAATATATGTTCTAAATCAAATTTTAGTCTATACTCAATGAAATTTATAAATAATTTTTATATAAAAGTGGGTATAGAATAACTTTCTAGTTTTTCTGAACACTAAAAACTACAGACACATTGCAAATAAAGTTAAACCTCATTATGTGTAAGAATGTGAGTATGCAGCAGAATTTAAGGTATTGTAAAAATATTAAGAAAAACGTCAATCTATATGTCTTCAAAGCTTACCAAAAATTTCATCAAATATGTTATATTTTTTTAAGATTAGATTTTACTTTTTACTTCTCATGTGTTAAATAAAGGCAACTGATTAAAGTTTTACGCCACTGAAACTTATAGCAAACATTATAAAATAAATAATTATTTCAAATTCAACAAGGTGAACAATTATTATGGAAAAAAAATTTCACCAGAATATTCTATTACAATTTGTTTGCAAATAAGACTGTAACCTATACAATGTTTTTCAAGTGTCTATATTTATTTATATACCTTGCAAGCAACAGCAGACATTAACCAACAATAGAAAAATTTTTCAAGCAATATGAAGAAAAATGTTTGTATAAATCAAGAAAAGTAAATTTTTTTAATAAATTTTTTCTACATTATTATCATAGTGGTACGACTAAAATTTTTTTTTACATGATGTCATAAATTTACAAGTTGACTAAATCCTATTTGTCATCCCTGTCATATACTATGGATGAAGCTATAGTGGCCATATCACCCATGTAAACAATTTACAACCACATATAAGTTACGAGTCTCGAACAGACTTGTTTGATGTGCACACGGGTGTGGCAAAATATCACATGTTAACTGTTGGTTTATGTTCATATATAATAACAATTCACATAGGCAAATTTAAGACATTTATCTTCCGTCATGTGCACATCAAGCATCTCAGTTAAAAATTTCTGACATATTAAGAGGACATTGCACACGCATGTGTCTCTTCGTCATACAAATGTACAACACAGCAAAAAACTGTTTTATGCGAGAAGGAACTGAGAACGCTACAGTCATAATAAGAAACAAAATTTTCACCACATAATAAAGAGAACTTTGGCTGTGCAATATCATTTTTATTTTTTCGTTATCGGAACTTCAAAAAAAGTTATTAAAGTTTTAAAAACACAAATAATAATGGATTTTGAAATTATAAGAAAGTATTAGTGATATCAAAAAAATAAAAACGATATTGCACAGCCAAAGTTTTCATTTATAAGTGGTGAAAATTTTGTTTCTTAGTTATGACTGTAGCCTTCTCTGTTCTTTCCCACACCAAATGGTTTGTTATCGGTAAATGGTGATTTATATCTTAAAATTATGTATTTAATATACTTTTTATAGAAAATTATAACTATCAGTTTATAATTTTACAATAGGTATACTTACTTATTAACTAAATCGTCTAAAACAAATGTATCTGCTGTTTTCATCAAGCTTAAGATGAAACTATCACCTTTAGAGAAATCTACTTGATCTGTGTAAATCCATTTTAGTAGTGCTTTTCCAACATCTAAGGGCAATGCGGTCCAATCTAAATTATGATAACAATGTATTATAAATGTATATATAAATATAATCAGAAATAATTGTTATAATATGCCATATATTCTAGACAATATTTACCTAAGTAAATAACTTCAGTTAAATCAGGTACTCCCCATTTATCACTTCTTGATGACAAAACAAACTTATGAGCTGGAACATCGCCATTAGCCAATGTTATATTTAAATCACTGAAAACATAAATTAGCAGTCATATATTGTCAAAAATAATTTTTTTTTTTAAATGTTACCTATAAAGGGTGTTGTTATACAATGTTGTTACTGTTTTCAAGAGCCTTGAAACAAAACTTTTGTCATTACAATCACCATATGTTGCTGCCAATGTGGCATGTTTTTTTTCCAAATCATTGCAATAAGCTTGAAGTTTGACATATTCATCTTTCAACAATGAAAGATGTTGTTGCTGTTTGTGCTTTTCTGAGTCTCCAGACATTCCTTAATTATCAATAATAGACAAAATATCACTATACTATAAATCCTTGCAGTTAAATTCAGCAAAAAACTCAATATAAATTATGTATGTAATCATTGTCCATTAATCATGATAGCAACAAAAAATTATAATAATATTTACAAATTGTTGTACCCATGAAAATGAAATATACTAACAATTTAAAAACATTATTATTCATTAGTATTTTAATTTTTAGTATCTATTGCATGTTAATATATATATTTTTTTCTAAAAACCTGTTAAGAATTTATTATTATAAAATCATGAATATGTTATGCAATGTATTGAATCTATTAAAATCACAACTGAGAACAACTTCTTTAGAAAACAAAGGCATCTCATCATAAATTAAATATACCATCCAATTAAGTATCTCCTAAACACTATACCAGGGAACTCACAAGAAGCTGACAAAGATGGTGTAGAGACCATAATTTTATTTAACGATATAAAAAAAATGCCAATGAGAGACTTTTTCTGTCACATTTGTTCAAATCTATATATTATTCACTACATAATCTTATTGAAAAAAAATATTTAGAAATCAAATGTTTAAAAAATAAGGGTTAAAAAAATGTATTTATTTCACTACTGAGATATAAGTTATTATCCAACTAAATACTAATATAAATAATTTTATAGTTTCATTGTTCAATATTTTACCTACTTGAATTAGATGTACAATTATTTACATTTTTTTTACTTATACATTTTAGGTACTTAAGGGGGCTGGAGTGTAATCCATTTTAAAGAGTAAAAACTAGGAATTTTATATTTCAGTTTATATGGGTCTTGTGAATGTATTGAAAGTAAATGAACATTAGTGTGTGTAATTTGTAGTACCAATCACGTTGTATGGGGGCATCATAGTGACCGAATATGTATGTCTGTCATTTTACCTACGCGCATACACATGTCACCACATACTACTTTATACAATTACAAACATTTTTTTTCAAAAAATACTGCCAGTGACTTCAATCACTACTCTCAGTAGGATGTCCCTATTTAAATTTTGAAAGCAGATTTGAATTGACTATGCTTTAACTGTCGTACATTTTTCATATTCTATATCAGGGGTGGCCAAACCGCGGCTCGCGCCATAGACTTTGGCGACTCGCATCTTATCGTAACATTTAAAAAAAAAAATTTTTTAATATGAATTTATGTATTTGAAAAAGTATAATATTTTATTAAATTAAATTAAATTATTAAATTACATTTAAATTTTTCTTAATTGACTATTTTCTTATTTGTTGCGTGTTTATTTTGCTTAAATCATGACTAAATGTTGTTAACGCAGTCATTATCCATGTGTGTCTGTATGATATTTTGATATTTATGGTATTTATGAAGATAAAATTTAATTTGAGATTATTGTACAATTATTGTTATCTTATTCTTCACATTTTATTAAATACCAATATACCATACCTTAACACTTATCTTATTTACAATAATAATAATACAATATCTGATATATAAATATATATATAAAAATTATATAATAATATGACCTTTTTTTTTTTTTTACATTTTGGCTCTTCCATATTTATTAATATATTTGGTGGCTCGCAAGTCATTTCTCGCTGGCCACCCCTGTTCTATATCAATGTATTTAAATTTGAATTATGAATATGATCTATTTTTACTATTTTCGTTAATAAATTTTTTAAGTAAAAAAAAATAAAAATCAGGAAAATGAAATTGTCAAAGCATAGATAATTTAGTAACAAATTCAAATCTGCTTTCATAATTAATATTTGAACATTATAATGGGTGTAGTGACTAGTGAGTGATTGAAGTCGTGAGCTACGTTTTTGACCGAATATGAAACAAACTCCCTTAACATTGAAAATTACTTTAAACTTCCTTTAAATACCTATACTTTATTTGCTTTACTGATATAGTTCACAGTGAAGGGTATTAGATGTATTTAAGTGCCATTACATTAAGTTTTGGAGTTTTTTAAATATTTTACCCGCCTCTTGTTTATTAAGTATAACCGTCATTGTCGGACTGCCCCTGATTATAAGAGGTGAAGGATAACTCCCCCCCCCCTCTTAGACACAAAAATTAAACTATTAAATGGTGATGCTGGAAAGCCTCCTCTAGAAGCTAATAAAATCTATAATATCTTTGTTTTACTAATTATAAATGTATTCAAAACAACATTGTTTCACTATGCATACTAAAAATAAAATGTTCCAGTCTTTTTTATTGATTTCATGATATAAGTACGCCTGTGCCCCCTCCCAAATTGGATTCAATTGCAAGAGAGGAGGGCACCTTCAATACGCCACTGAAAACTTCACTAATTATCATTTTTAAAAATTTGACAGGAAATAAATAAAAAGTGTAGTTTCAATAGGAACCTATTGAATAGTTTTAATATATTATGTGTATTATGAAAGGTACCTATTACATAAGGTAGGTACTTAATATTATTAAAATAATGAACTCACTTGACACTTATTAAAATAAAATATTGAAAAATGCCAAGTTTTTAATATTTAAGAGGGAGTGAAATTCAAATACTTTGATATTTTACTGAATTGTACATTAAAATCAACAAAGTGTTAAGTGTACATGTGAGCAGAAACTCCCACTCATTACAATCTACTAATGCTCATCAAAAGTACATCAGACATGAATGAAACTCAAACAGGTTTATTTATTAAATTCGATAATATATCTTTAGGATTTATGTTATCAAAATAAAGACGACGCTATAACTGACTACTGGTAAAATTAAAAAAAGAAACCCAAAGGACGTTTGGTCGTTCGGCGTTGAGAAAAATTGAAAAACATAATAACGAATTCGGCAAGAGACGAATGTCGCCGGAAACTAACCTTCTCTGTGGAGTTCGGCGGTTGGCATTATCGACGATGGTCTGCGAATGATCACATCGGTTTCGCGAAGACTTCGATGGCGCAATGGAAAAATCGAAAGCAACCGGGCAAGTCTTCCTTCACCCAATTCCGGTCTACTGGACAGTACACTGTAAAAACCTATCGGCAATCAGCAGCCAGCCATTGCCTATTACAGGCTAGTGAGGCTACGGCTAAACGACGAATGTATATGGATATTAAATGTTCAATGTTGTACCAATGGGCTCGCATAAAATAACAAGTAAAAAAGTCACAGATTGATAACACTCATTATACAGTGGTTAATATGTGGCGTAACATCGTAACCACCGGTGGAGGTTGATAATACAACGTGGGTGCGTGCGCGGACGAATGGTTATCATCACTGTTATGGACCGTAGATAATAAAATGTATATATTTAACATCACCTAATTATTATTCATGTTATAGACAAGCCGGCCTGTGTACATTGTCGATGCTGGGTGTACCAAAATCCCTAATGTACGATAATCGGTATATTTTGTTGGGTTTGTGCTCAATGGGAATAAAATATAAATCCACCGAATATTCGTCGGCACAACTAGGTGTAACTTTGATCTATAGAAAAAATTAGGTACACCCATTAACTAGGGTGCCAGATATAAAATATTCAAACATGGGATTGATTATTAATATTATAATTACTAAAATCAAGTTTATTTAATAAATAGTACGATACCGTCCTTTCTTGATTGAAGATACTTATTAGTATTTACATACCATTAATATAATTTAAGTCACTACCAACCTAGTGGTTAAAGTTGACGCCTTTACCTTTAGAAATTGTAATATTCTTAGCATAAATTTATATTAGTTATTAGTATGAAAGTGGGACGTGGTTGGGCAGTACAGTTTTGAAACCCCAACAGTCAACTATTTGTACCACTAGCTTACTTAATGTCTACTGGAATTTGTATACAAGACATAAGAAACTTATTCACTGCATCTCACCTTAACTAAGTATTGTTATTTATGAACATATATTCAACAGATTAAAAAACTTATTTTTATTAGATTGAATCACATATCATAATATTAAGTCATGAAATACTAAAACAGTCAATTTGGTAAGATAATTGTTCTTTCCAGAAGTTGTCTTCACAGATAATTTATTAAAATAAGTGCTATGTACCTTAGATATCTATGATTCAATGAAACTGAATATCCACCATTGTCCATATACACAACAAAACAGTTGTTTGGTTATAAAATATCAGCTTTTTAACTTCATATTTACTAGATGTTTGAATTATAATATTACTACATAATACAACTAAAATTTTGGGATTGGAAATGTATACTAAATAATTGACAAGTTTGATTTTTTTGGTTTTTATTATAAATTGTCAAATAATGAAATTGTACAATTATTTTGCAGCCGCTGTGGCTTTCTCTTCTTCTCGAATCCTGTCCTTCTTCAATGGACCCATGAAAGCTGCCTTGTCGGCAATAGTCTGGAACCGTCCATGACCGAATTTGGATGAGGTATCGATGAATTTCAAGTTGATACTCTCCAAAGCAGCACGTTTTGTGTGTACCAACAAAGACTATAAATAAAAACACAATTGTTAGGGTGTTTGATACATAATGATAAAATTACAGTATTTAAAAAAATTACTAACAAAGCATGACCTCAGTCCTATCAATGCGTTAAACATAAACAATCATTTAATATTTCATGAATAATGGCTCTGGGTTGTTATGCATCATTGGTCATACTTTGATTATTATCTTAGTTTAAAAATGTCTATCAATAAAAAGACCTCGGTCCTATCAATGCGATAAAATAAATACATGAGGCATTCATTAATATTGGCTCTATAAATACACTCGTCATAGGTCAATTATAAAAAGAAAATCCTGACAATTATAAAAAAAAAATAGCGAATACACTGCTGCATCATTAACTCGTTGAACGCCAACGTCGATTAGGCATGTGCACACCAGTGGGCGACATAATGTGACTTGCGGGCAACTGTCATAGATTGTAAAATTAGTAGAATTACGGAATTATCAGTACGGTTATTATGAATGACCTATAGAATTTATAAATTTTTCAGCTACAATTACCAAAATCTGTTACTCTATGTCAACCACCGGTTAATTGTGCCTGCCCTACTTGTGTCAACTACGGGTTAACATTTTAAATTTTATGAAATCTATTTAACAGATAAGTTAAGCTTCATTTTTTTAATTTAATATACATACATCCTATTCCAAAAGACGCTAAATTTCTTTAGCAAAACTGGTTTTGCCTGCAGTTGCTTTTATAAAAATAGGCCACGCAGGGACACATGTTATTTAGCTTAACGTGACAGCAATTTAAAATTGTAATACCACAAATCCAGACAGCAATTTGAAAAGAAATCATTGTTATAATATTTTAACATTTGCTGTCTGGGAAATTGTATAACTTATTAGAATTAGTGTACATTGGTTGTGAAACATATATATATAACTTTTTAAATATATTTTTGTTCTTCACAATAGTGACAGTTTTTATTGAGTTTAACCATGTTTTGTGAAAACGGACTAAAACTCAAAAAAACGTGTTAAAATAATTTGTTATGAAAAAACCTCAGATATAGGGATAAAGCATTTAGTTCACCGACATTCATAGGATTGGCTCTGGTTGTTCATCACAGGTTTTTTCAAGTTCAAAAATAATTACTTAATAATAATAATATGAATAATAAATACTTACTTTACGAAGAGTGATAACTCGCTTCTTGGGGCCAACACAACATCCCTTGATCATCAAGAAATCATTGTTAACTTCACCATAATGAGGAAAACCTCCCATGGGGGTGATAGTCTTCTCGGTCAAATCGTACTCAGTTGATGCATTGTTTTTGATAACCTACACAGAAGGAAATCAGGTATAAGAATATTGATGAAGTAATAATATGGTAATACTAGAATTAAAAACTATAAAATAATAAAACTCAGTTATGAATGTGCTAGGCATGGTCTACTAGTAAGTCACTGCCCGATGGACTCTCACACGTTACGGAATAATGCCAACCTTCAACACACGTCCAAACACTAGGCTTGGAGGGTTAAATTAATTTTTGATGTGATAGCCTATACGTCTAAATAAAAGTTAAGACCCTTGCTCTATCTGAATAGTAAAACTACTCCACCATTTTAAGTTAAATATGTAATAAGTCTTGATTAGTCAGTAGGAAGGCAGCATGGTAGTATCTTCATAAATTTCAAGAATGCAAACATCATGTGTTATCATCATTCAATACAAGACATTTTAAAAAAAAAACTTAATGTGCTAGGCATGGTCTACTAGTAAGTCACTGTCCGATGGACTCTTACACGTTACGGAATAATGCCAACCTTTAACACCTTCCTAAACACAAGGTTTAGTGGATTAATTTTATTTTTGATGTGATAGACCATACATCTTGACTTCAAGATCCTTATCCTATCCAAATAGGTTAACTATTTCATCATTAAGACACAAAATTAAAAGTACTATGTAAATTTTAAATCGAGTCTTGGATTGTCAGTAGGAAGGCAGCATGGTGGTATCTTCAGAAATTTCAAGAATGCAAACATCATGTATTATCATCATTCAATCCAAGACATAACAATTTAAAATGTAAAGAAATGTGCCAGGCATGGTCTACTAGCAAGTCACTGCCCGATGGGCTCTTGCACGTTACGGAATAATGCCCAACTTCAGCCTCAATCCATACCCGAAAGTTTGGAGGGCTAAATTATTTTATGATGTTAACGGTATATACGTCGCAATTTTATCGACACTTTCACCGTTTGATTACCAAAGATAATCCATCAATATAATTACCAATAAAAACAAATATGAAACTAAGTAATAAGTATTTTACCTTTCCATCCTTGGTATGAATTCCAAGTCCAATACGGTATATCTTCTTATTGATTTCAGTACGATGATGGTAACCCTTTTGACCAGCACGTGCAACAGTGAACTGGACACGACTAGGATGCCATGCTCCAATGCAAGCAACCTTACGAAGACCTTTATGTGTCTTACGGGGCAATTTCTTTGTATGCCAACGGGATGTAACACCTTAAGAATTGAAAAAATATATACATTAAGATTTGACATTTTAATAAAATAACATTATAAATTAAATGCTATACCTTTGTATCCACGACCCTTAGTGACACCAATACAATCTATCATCTCATCTGGTGCAAATACATGAGATACAGGTACTGGCTTTTCAAAATGTTCCTTAGCCCATTGTACCTTTTCAGCAACAGTACCTCCATTAACTTGGATCTCCATGATATGAGCCTTCTTTTGGCGTTTCTTCAACAATTTCATCTATGCACACAAAACAATTAATAATAAGAAAAAAAATACAAACAGCAAGTACATATCAGATAGATATAATTTATAACCTCAGACCGCCCTAGGGGTTCACATCAATTAAATTCAGGGTCTAACTGTAATAATTTTATTATTCATCATCGGTGAAAAAAAGAAAAAACTAAATATGACCAATTATTACCTGTGTGTGGGCAACAACGCGGATAACTTTGGAGTATTTGGCAATTTTACCAAGATCTTTAGCAATTTGTCTTTTTCCATTCTCATCTTGCCACTTCCTGGAGTACTTGACAAAAGCCTTCTTTTTTGATTTGTACCTGAAGGTAGGACACATAAATGAAGAGCGGCCTCATCATAGACTATGTCTAGATTGGAGGCACAACTAACTCTTCTTGCCGTCTTTCAAATAATTTGAAAACATTAGCAATAAGTATAACTCTCATCCGCTAGCGGAGAGGAGAGATAAATGATTAATTATTTACACAGAAACAATAAACTGTTAATCTGAATATATAAAATAATAAAAAGCCTCAGACCGCCCTAGTAAAGTGACATCATTATGTTCAGTTAATCTAACTGTAAACATTTTTAACTAAATCATCACTGGCTAAGTTAAAGAAATATAAATTGTATGTAACATACCAGTTCTTGTAAAAACGACGACGGCAATCTTCAGACAAATGTTCAGCGAACACAGTCTTTAAAGGTTTAAGACCATATGGAGTTTCAACATAACCTACAACACCAACAATGATCATGGGAGGAGCTTCCAAAATGGTAACAGGCTCCACAATTTCCTTCTTGTTGAGTTCTTAAATAAACATAAATAAAACATTAGTTAAAAATAACCTAGAATATCTCTCATTAATAAAAAACTTACTTGATCCTGGCCGGTCGGCTTCACGAACAACGTGGGTCATACCAGCTTTATATGCAATGAAAGCGGTTAAATGGATTGGCTTGCTGGGATCATCTTTGGGGAAAGACTTTACTCTACCACGATGACGACGTGCGCGCTTCTTTGGGTAGAAACCCATAGAACCATGCCGAGGAGCACTAAATTTACGATGAGACTGTAAAATACAAGACCTTATTAATCAAAATTAACACATGGCAAGGTAAATTTACCCTAACAGATATTAGACTTCTTTTAGGAAGAAGAATAATCGGTATAGCGTTAAAAACTACAATTACTTACACAGAAACAATAATTATATGAAGTAATAAAAAATAGCCTCAGACCGCCCTAGTAAAGTGACATCATTATGTTCAGTAAATCTAACTGTAAACATTTTTTAACTAAATCATCACTGGCTAAAATGAAAGATATACGGGTAAATGGTTAAAAACAAAAACTAGCTTACCACATTATTAAAATAGTTTAGAATTCTAATGAAAAGTAGTGAAAAGACTTTGAAGCACGTGGGATTTAATATAATAGTATTGATAAAACATCTAGATTACTTATATTAAACAAAGATTAGCCGGTAGGTCGAACGGTAAATATGAAATGTGAGGAACACAAATCTCGTATCCGCCACGTGTTATTACACGATAATTATGAAATATGGTAAAAAAAATTGAATTATGGTAAAAACCATTCGGTCAATTTGCCTAGTGAGTTTTTACTGAAATCTACACGAGAACCTTGCACTAATTTTACTGCCATTTATTGTAATTTTACTACATTTCAATAAAACGCATACGAAAGAGACGAGGTCCCTAACCTTAAATTCGCCAAATAGATACAACAAGGCAATTAAGTGCCGTTTCACATGGACGCGTATCAATACGCGACCTACAGCACATGATCGTTTCTATTTACATCGGACGTTTATACTCAGACGATGGTTCGTTTGAACTTTATCGATGTCAACTGAAACGTGCGCGTACGACACATAGCGCATGATACGCGTCCATGTGAAACGGGCCTAAAAAGAAGTGTCAACGGATAAAAAAGTAACAAGTAGCCGAAACACTCGCCCGTTGGAAAACCGAAGAAAAACACGTAAGTCCGTCGAACGACGAATGTGTTTCGGCCTCCGAATGCATGACTCGCAAACGGCATAATGGCGAAAACGAAAAAGTGACATTTCCGTGGTCGACCAGACCAGAAACCAACGGGAAAGTACTCGAACGAAAAGTAGCACCAAATAAATACTCACCATATTCGACGACTTGGAAGATCGAAGAGGATGAAAAAAAAGACTTGACGAAGGCGGATGACGCGACAACCGCCGGTCCAAGATGAACGATGATTGCAAACGAAATGAACGATGGTGGAACACTGGAACACTACCCACTACCCACTACGGCACTACCCTGATCAGTTGTTAGGAAAGCGGAACGGGTGGGGGTACACGAAAGCGTCTCGTGGCTGTAGCCGCACGCAGTGCCGCCAACAATTACGGCCAGGAAACGTCCAAGGAGAACGGAAAACGGAACCAAACGTACTTTTGAGGTTATGTTTGAAGCAGGCCATGGGGAAACTGCATATTTTTCTGAATGTGCGTTCCCCCCGGAATAATAACAACAATAATAAACGGACGAGATAAATGATAATTGATAATCGTCCGAAGCCGAGGAACTCCTAGTGCGAGATAGGTGGGCTATAATTGGAACGAATTCACGTATTAGCTGGCCCAAGCAGACTGCTTCAGCTGGTCGCTGGACTGTTGTCTGTTTTCGAGGGCCGCCGTTATCAGATTTTTGAGACTTAAAGGTCAACAGGTCCATTGATTATAGACGCCGAGTAATAAAACTAAAAGTCGATACCTAATACCTGATTCGTTTGATCTCGCGTCCGAACGTCGCCTGCGTCTATTTCCGAATCGTTTTTATTGCTCACGGATTGCGGGTTTGTCCGAACCGAAATAGAGACCGTAAGCACCGCCGTCCGTGTCCCGTCATCCACTCAGTCAGTCATAGTTCTGCCAATCGCCAATGCTATTGCACGTTTTCGATACCTCAAAAATGGATAACTACAAGTGTTCACTGTCCGTCGTCGACGTTTACGATATGGCACAGGACATCGGACGAGAGTTCGAGTCCATCATAGACGCGTATGGCACCGATGCCATAACAGGGCTAATGCCCAAAGTGGTATCCGCCCTAGAGCAGATGGAAATATTGGCTATGAAAAATGAACGAGAGAACACCACCGTGGATGACCTGCGAGCGACGATACAACAACTGGAAATGGACAAACAGGAACGGACCGAGGATAGGATCAAGTATGAGAAGGTAAATTAATGTCGAATTGTGTATTGTAACATTGTGCATTGTAACCCACACAAGACATATGTTACTGATTGTGTTTTTCTACTACCATATGACTACTATATTGTAGGAGATGGAACAAATCGAAGATAAGTGGCGTGAAGACTATAACGAATTGTTGACTACTGTTTCTAGACTTCAAGATGATAACCGTAAATTGACTGAGTCTTTGCAAGCTGCTGAAAAGGATAAGATTGTTGATTCAAAATGTACGATTTTGTTAGAAAATTTATAATTTCATATCACCTTATTAACTGGTTGTTAACTTTTAGCTCAAGTTTTAAGTCCAGATGTTGATACTGTTGCTCTTCAACGTCTACGCCATTCTGTAGACCAAATGCGTGATAGTATTAGAAGCTATGAACATCAATTATATTCAAAGAGTAATGAAGTTGATTCAGTAAGTTGACATTGTAATAATTTTCTATTGTAGGTACATTCATTAATTGTGTGTAACGATCATACCTCTGTAGTTGAACGTTCAAATGGATAGGTTGCAAACTACTTTAAAAGACTTGCGACGTAAACATCGTTTTGCACAAGTACAATGTCGTGGTTTAGTTGAAGAGAGGGCAAATATTCTTTCCCAACTTCAAAAGCAGCAAAAAGAATTTATATCACTTAGACAAAGGTTTGGTGTAGCTCAAAAAGAAAATGAAGACTTGTCAAAATATAGAGTAAAACTTTCTTCATATTTTTAACCAATTATTTTTGTATAAATTTGTGTTATTATATGTTTTTTTTATATTTAGGATGATTTGCCTGATTTGAAAAATAAAGCCATTTATGATTTAGACGATCCAGACAGACCAAAGTTTACTACAAATGAACTGAAAGATATTTTGACTGAACGTAATGAACTAAAAACTCGTGTTAATGATCTTGAAGATGAACTCTTACAGTATAGGCCGGTTGAACAGTCGACAATATCGTAAGTAACAGCATTGATTATAAATACAATTACCTATTGGCTATTTATAATCAATAGTAAAATTAAATTTTTTATCAATGAACAGCTTTTACACAACATTCCGCTTAACAATCATAATTATTTGTTATATACTGAGAAAAATAACTGAAAAAGTTTGCTGGTACCCATGTAATTCAATTTTTTTTTCTTTATTAACCTATTATCTACCTATCAATTTATTCATAAAAAAAAAAAGTTTTACCTTACTAAATAAGCACGTTTTTATTTTTCCATTTGCACGCTTGGTACGCATATGCTTACTACAATTTGCTTGGTTTACTACAAATCTACCACTTTGTGCATGTAAACTTGTACATTAGCCAGGAAAGGGATGAAATCCAAGAAACGCGGGTACGAAGAATTTTGTTACGAAACTGTACCAGAACAGACGGTCACCGACAAAATCCTGACACCGCTCCGGGCGATAAGGAAGACACGCAAGTGTCAATCATCACCCCAGAAATATCATCTAATGTAACATCCCCAATCAGGTAAGTGTCATCACTCATGTCTGCATACACTTGTTTGCCACTTAGATAATGACTTCAAAGTAGCGAAATGCTTACATTGTCTCATTTTAGTTGCTCTTTTATAATTATTGCTGTGGTAAATTTTTTTCAATTCATTACTGCATGGTGGTAGAATATTAATTAATTAATTTTTCTCAAAGACAAAAACAACAACTTCAATATGCAAGACTAAATTGACTATATAAATACTGAAAAAGTTGTTTCAAGTATGCTAGCGTTTATATATTATGTATAATTTGATAATGTAAAAATAATAAATAATATACTCTGCTCAGAGATTAAATATATTGATTCTGCAAATCTCCTCGCGATACACTGCCATTAGGATTTTTTCTACTATGGCAGGTGCCGTGTGTATTTTTGTCGGTCCTTAGTTTTTATTTTTGCTGGACAGAGTTGTATTAAATATTTAGACATTTAAACAGAGATCTCAATAGTTCATTCATTGTCCAATTATACATTTTTTAGTTAAATTTATTTTTATCTTATTCAGGTCTGATGATGAACAGGAAGAAGGACCTGTTCAAGGACCATTACCTCTAGAACCTGATGATGCACCATGGAAACGAAATCCAGAATCTGGTATTCGTAAACTGTAAGTGTATATTAAAATCAGTATTTTTTTTATCAAAAGTCGATGAACTTTATATTTTAATTTAATTTGTTTTGACTTCTGTTTACAGTTTTCGTAAGATGTTTGCTGAAACTAACAACTCTTTATTTTCTAAGACTAGTCCTAAACATCCTAAGTTATCGTTATCCAAAATGGCTGTATCCATTGGTCATTCGTCTATTATGGGACCGTCTGAAGTGTGATAAATAAAACATTGATCTCAAATTGAATTATTGTTTATTAATCATTACAACAAGTATTATTTTAAGGCATATGCATAGCTAAATTATAAGGGATCAGTAAACATAAGTAACTACAAATCAAATGAACTTAGTAATATTATTTTATTTTTATTTTTTACATATATATTTTACAATATTTTTATCGTGATTATTTATTCTTAATACTTAAAATTGCTAGGGCATAGCTCTTTTAAATTTTATTGAATTATTTTATTATTTATTTAACATACCTAATTGAACGCTTATTTATAAATACATACAAATGTTTAACTTTTCTGTGTTAGATCTTAGTTTTTTTGCTAGTGCTAATTATTTTGAGACAAAACGGCATGTCAAAATATTATAAATTAAGTAAATAAGACCTATTTTAATTTAAAAAACATTGTGTATGTGATATTGCATTCAGATAATTTTTTTTTTATTAATTTACCTATTTATTCTTTATGTACAAAAATAAAATATTCTATTACTTTGATTGATTAACTTTTGTATCAAGTTAAAGATAAAAATGCTCATAATATTTTGTTTTTAATGATCCCCCCTTATCAATTGTATTACATTATGAAATCAATTGTATTACATTATGAAATCAATTGTATTACATTATGTAGTACAATAATATTTAGGGCTAATGCTTTTGACGTAACTCATCTAGTCGAGTTTATAATCAAATATAGTTGATTTTGTTATATATTTTTTTTTTTTTTTTTTTGTGATTGTACTTAAAAGAAAGTGAAGTATATTTTTATAGTGATTTATAATCAAATATTTAACTATTTTTAAATAGTATTACATTTATAATTATGTTTATAATGTATTGTACTGCCCTGTGCTTTTTAATGTATAGAGTAACGTGCAACGTTTTGTTGAAGAAAAATGTGTACTTCCAAAATGTTAATTTTAATTGGCTATTGTTTTGTTAATCGTAATTATTTGTAAAGACCGTAATATAGTATTTTAAATTAGACAATATTTATACCAAATTGATTTTTTTATGTTTGTGTACATTTTTGTAATCTACTACCAGCCCAATACTATTATTTTATCTATACTGTTATAACTTTATAAGCTTGTCTGCTGATATTAACGCTGTACTATCAAAATTATTGATCTATTGTCTTTCCATACATCATGTAAAAACTGAAAAGTATAATTTACATCCAAAATTAGATATTTTAAAAAATAACTTTATTTTTTTGTAGTGCTATTATGAATTGTATAACTAAGAATTGAAACTCAGATTAATTTTTTCAATAACAATAATTAGTTCTTTAATCCTATATATTATCATAAATGAAAAAAACAGTTATAATCGAAAATTAAATGAATAATAACATTGAGCGTTAGTTTTTATATATTTGTTATTTTTTAATGACTTCAGCTTATGTTTATTCTAATGTCCTTGTAAACCAAAAAGATTGTTTAATATTTTATGTCAACACAATTAAAAATTGTATATTAGTTCTTAGTGTATAAAACAACTTAGGGTCAGTTGTACCATCTACGATTAAAGTTAACCGGACTTTAATATGCCAAATTTGCCCGGCTTAATCTGTTATTAGCTGATTAAGTGTAACCAAAGTTTAACCGTAGACGGTACAACTGGTACTTAAACTCGTAAGGGGGTTTACACTACATTTTGTCGTGTTGTTTAAAATTATGTTCTCTGATTGGCTAATTAAGGTGGTTCGATTAAAGTATACTATATGATATATCGTTATTTTATCACATGATACCTTATAGTTAAATATATTCTCAACCTGACTTTTGTTATAAATTATAATGATTATTTAGTTACTAAACTAGGTACTAAATTGATTTTTAAAAACAGTGTTTTATATTAATTTCTAAATAGTTAACTATTGATTTGATTTTCATAGAGAGTTGACTGCTATTTTACACAGTAACCAGTTTAAATGTTTGGTGGAGCAGCACATTTCCATTCCCTTGTGTCAAAATAAAGTTAAATTATAACAACTGACATATTATTAGTATTTGGTATTTACCAATTATTATTATAACAAAACCTATATTTTAAAATTTAAACTGATAAAAAAATAATTTTTTTGCACTTGGTTGACTGATTTTTTTCTGCAACAGAACAAATTAAACCCAGACTGAAAAATATCACTAGAGACCTCAGCTTTAGAAACTTTTTAACTTCACTATTTACCTAATTATTTTTTAACTTATTACTCAACTTAATAATTTAAAAATGCTACTGTTGTACCTTAACTTTTTATTGTTCATTATTGTGCAGTTAAGTTAATTATTTTTTTTGTATCACCCGGAACCAATAGACAACACTATAAATTTGTTAACTTTTTGGTAATTTATTTTCTAATAATATATATAATAATAATCATTAATCTGATGTTTGCACAGTGTTAAGCCTCCAAGTAAATGTTTGTGTAAATCAAAATACTAGGACATTTTATATAAATTAAAAATATTGTAACTTGAAAAAAAAATAAAAACTATTTTTAACCTAGTTAAGTTTTTTATTTTCCATCTTAACAATAAACTTATTGTGTTAAATTATTCCTTTGTTAACTTTCAACTGAATTTACTTAACTTGTCACAGTTAATTGTTGTCAACTTGGCATTAATTTGCCTTACTTTGGTATATTATAAATTTAACATGTGCCCACCCCCTATATACGCCGCTGGTTGGAATACTGACCCACCAGACAAATTATAATTTTTTCTATAGAACCCTTACTAGATTGGTTTGAAGACAATAGTTACGTTGGACCAAATATTTTGAGCTTGCGCATAATAGATTTTTGAATGGAAAACACAAAACCAACCATCACAACGAAGTTCCTAATAGAAGACACATAGAGGTGTACCCCCCCCCCCCCCGAAATAGCAGTTACAAAAAATAAATTATCTGACAACTGACCTACAAATGTATTACTAATAACTAGGGCTCGGATTTATATGTACCTATTTATATAACCTAAGTATGTATTTAGAGAACAAAAATATATACATATGTATATGTGCTAACGAATTCAAAATATTATGTATTATCAAAAAAAAAAATAATCAATTGCTATCGATTTTTTACGAGCAGTAGGTACAATACAAAATTTGACCGTCACTTTGTAAATGTTCATTTGGATATTCAGAAACATATTTTATTGCTTTGCAAGTTTTGGACGATCGTACTTTTGGCATTACCTACAGTGGCGTATTTAAGATTTTGGCACCCTGGGTACACACATTTTGGCGCCCCTTTTTTTCTCAGTTTCCTTTTACTCATTGTCACAAAAAAATCTAATTCACAATTTACTCTTTCTCTCAGTTAATAGTGCAGAGCATGAAACCGGTATAAACCGTTATAAAACCAAAACCGAAAAAAATTGGAAAGCGGTGTACAAATCGAAACCAAAACAGAAATTTTTTCAATCGGTTCGGTTTCAAGCCATGTAAAAGTGATGATTGATAACCCAAAATGTATATTTTCCCCTTATTGCATTTATGCTTCCACTAATTTAGAGAACACTTTTATTTTACCATCAACACTAAGTTTATTCCTAAACAAATTATAATTTTTATTTTAGCCTTTTTGACTTTTTTTACGACAATCAATTTAATAAAATACATTATTAATATATTATAATTTATAGGTACATAGAAATATGTATAGAAATGTAAAAGATATTATAAGAAAGATACAGGTATTCGCTTATCAGTTATCACTAATATAATTTCTCAACAAATAAAATAAAATAAAAAAATAATTTTGTTATAAGCAGGTAACCTCTAGCAACGGGGCCCCTTTGAGGACTCAGAATTTGGCACCCCGGGGCAATTGCCCCCCGTCACCGCTCTCTAATTACACCACTGCTAGCGTCTCATCAAACAGCGTTTTAAAAACAGATTGATCAGGGGCGCACCCAGGATTTTTTTTTGGGGAGGGCTAAATTCACATAATTTTAATATTAATAGGTAGTATTTATTTTGAAATATGTACAGAAATCTTTAAGCTTTTTTACAATCTTTTACTAACAAATTTTTTTATTTTTGTCCCGGTTTTAAGTGTCACCGTAGTCTATAATAATAGACAACAGAGGTCTCTCCCGGGGCCCGGAATGACAGGAATAAATTTTATAAAATTATAAAATCAATGATATAATATAATATTATGTTATGCCTAATGTTTCAATTTCGATAGTTGATAATTTTTTTTTATAACAATTTAAAGTAAAATGTCAATTTGTCAATAAACCTAATAAAATTATCAAAATGTTTGGGGCTAGCCATTTGGGGGGGGGGGGCTAAAGCCCGTTAGCCACCCCCTTGGGTGCGCCCTTGAGATTGATTAGTGAAAATTGTTTTCTAAAATGGATACAAGCGGGGCTCCGTTAAAAAACTTAAAATAAAACTCAAAGGTTATTGTTATTAGTGAAAATTAAAAAAAAAGTTGAGCGTAAACCCACAATATTTTTTTATAAGTGACGAAATTCGTCAAAATTATAAAAACGTGCAAGCTTTTATGAGTTAGATATTAATAAAATATTTTTTGTTTATATCTAAGATTTAAAAATGGAATACAATAGGTGGTTTACATAAGTAGTTATTTTAATAATAGAATAAAAACATTAAAGATATGTTTTATGGTATGCACGATTTTTTTCATAAGTGTAGTTAAAATGTTGACAGAATAAGATATTTAAATGACGAATAATGATTTCAGTTATTTTGTTATAATTTAAACATTTTACTGTGGGTACCTACTTGAAACTATTAATGTATATTATATAATATTATTTGCTGTAATGCTGTATACACACAATGACATTTTTAAATGCAAGTATTTCAGAAAAAAATTACTTTAATCTATATTTTAAGTACTGTACTATTGTCTAATAGTAAATATTTATCTAAACAGCAGTAATATTATAAAATATACTTAGTAATATTATTGTCTTTAAGATGGCAGATCGTCATCGCTCAAAGTCAGAACCGTTTTTCGTATTCAATGTTTTTATATCATTGAATTCAAATTTAACACATAAATCACAGAGACTGGGTCACTTGCCCACGTTTTTTTTTTCAATTGTATTTTGGTGTTGATTATTAATAATAAATAAAATAGAAACCGATATTAAATTATTCAACATAAGCATATTATATTATTTGTAATCCATGCAATTTCGTGTATAGGTATAATACATACATATATACATAAAACATAGGTCATCTAATTTTTTTCCGCGACAGCTGAAAGCCAAGTGCCAAATGATTTGGTAGACCAAATACCAGGGTCTACGTTCCGGCGGCTGGTCGCGACCTGTGTAAAGGACTTGGCGAGGACCACCTGTGTACCGCCGGAGTTGCCCCTCGCCTGTGCACATTTTACGGTGCGATGGCGGCTAAGCGGCTAAAAGGACTTTATTTTGTAAACATTGCTGCAGCGACAGCCGAATTAAATGGACCGACAGCTTTGGTGGACCTGATAACGGCATACATATTCCAGCGGCTGGTCAGGGCTTGTGAACATGACTCAAGAAATACGGTTGACACAATAACGGGGTCCACTGAAGTCGTCGGAAAAACGGTTAAACGTAGCCACCGCGCTTACATCATGCGGCCTTCGCAGATTTCTTTAAGTCAGCCCGCCGTGGATTTGGACCATATATTCTCGACCCGCGCCCAATTTTACGGTGCGATGGCCGCTAAGCGGCTAAAAGCTCTTTACTATGGCAACATTGCTTCTGCGAAAGCGGAAAGCCAAGTGCCAAATGATTTGGTAGACGTGCAAATACCAGGGTCTACGTTCCGGTCGCAACCTGCAGTGTAAAGGACTTGCAGGCGAGGACCGCCTGTGTACCGGAGTTGCCCCTCGCCTGTGCACACGACTTGGCGGCAAAAGATTCGGCGGTCGAAATAGTCGACGTTGTTTATCGAAAATGATCAGGACGTGCCGTCTGGTCAAACGACGGAGTCCGGAATCCAAGTCCACGAGCAGGTGCCACCAGCGGCTAGTGTAGAAATAAGGGTAAAACGTAGACGAACACTTTGGTCCCGCGCCAAAAAAAAAATGTTTTCGCTTATGATATTATGCTGTAGCTGTACCACCGCAGATTAGAAAGTATTGTAAATCGTAAATTTCTTTAAATATTATATCACCTATGTATTATGTTTATATATTATTATTCCTACATGAAATACCAAGCCGCGAGGGCTGCATGATGTAAGCGCGGCGTCTACGTTTTACGGTTTTTCCTGCCAACACCGGGTCCATGGCACCACTTCAATCTTTTGCACTGCTTGTTTTACAGACATAATCCAACACTCCAGACTGATTCGAAGTATTATATCTGAAGACATATTAATTGTTTTAACTTTTAAGAGACGAACGTACAAGTTATAAATTGTAACAACTGTAAGCGAAATCTCTAGAGTCTAGACACTAAACTATGAAGTGAAACACAAAATTATGTTATTTAACAGTATTGCTGACGTGGAAACTACCTATATATGTTTGAATAATTATGGTTACTTACTATGTATGGACTGTACATAATAAATATCAATTCAATTTTGCAAGTAAATAAAACAGCAAAATAAATACTGGAGTACACAAACTACAAAGTGATTTATCAAGCATGCTAACCCGCATAATATTTTATCTTTTTTAATGGGTATAAATTGACGTTTATATTTATGACACTGGCTTTTGGTTTTTTAAGCAAAAATATAATTTGCAAACATGTCTATATCCTTACTATTGTAGACGTTTGACAGAGGGAATCTATATTCTGTATTCCTGTATATTAAGTTCCTTAAAATACGAACAAATTTTTCTTTGGTCTGAATTTGCCAAAGGCCAATAAATTAGTCAACAGACATAATATACAATGTTTGGATATTATGTTGTGTGGAATATGATGTAGCAAAGCGTATCCAAGATCTGTCTTCGTATCCAAAAAATATATTAATGTTTAAAGACATTTTAAATTAGGTTAAAATTAAAAATACACTTGGTTGGTTATATATTCTAACTGTAGTTATAAAAATACCATATTATTAAAATATGGAGAATTTATGTTTCTCTTTTTAATAAACGTCACACGTCATGTTATAATAATGAGGTAAAATTGAAAGAAAGCAACACCATGATATTATAAATTTAGAAATACCTATGTTTTTTTTTTAAATTTATTTATTTTTTTTATTTATGGTATATACTATTTAATGTAATGAGTAATGACTAATGAGTATAGGTAGTGTAATTTCAAAGTCCATAATTAATTGTATTTTAATTATATTTTTACAACCTATATATTATTTTTGGTTGACATATATTTCATAACCTTAACTTTTTCTCATTTGCTTATGAGGGCCACAATTAAAATAAAAGTCGCCCTGCTGTACAGTAGGTTACAAGGGGGTCACTGTATAATGGATAGTATTAAATTTGAATTCGATGATATAATATCATTGTATAAGAAAAATGATACCGAGCGGAGACGTTATGTCAGTCTCAACTCTCAGTTTAAGTCGTTTAAGACATAATAATATTATATACTTACACCGTAGTTATCTACGGTATTCAAAAAAAATTTACCTATAATAAATCCCAAATTAATCATATCATAATATCCATTAGGTACTTACTTACAAGGCGAAGGCGTTATACATCAACAACAAACCGTGATACTATAATAGATATATAAAAGCATACTTAAGAAATTTCAAGTACCCACGAATAATATTATACAATATTACAATCACAAAAAAATAACTAAAATAGTTATTCTAGGTTATTTATTATTGATTATTTATTATTTTATTGATCGGATATCATTTATTAATAATTACAACAGAGATATCGTAGTTATTAACTAGGTAAACCGTGATTAAACAGTTAAGGATTGTTACCTTTAGAATAAAATGAATAAATTAATTGATACTTTTGTTTTTTAAAACATATATACTAAGTTTAAACTAAAACATTGATTATTTTGTCTATTTTAAAATGAATATGAATAAAACAATACAATACATACCAATTTATATCAATATAGACAAGTAGATTATATAGATAAATTACAATATTTAAAAAAAAATGTAATAATCTAGTGATTAAACACTTTAGACTAGTAATTGAACACTTTGGACCTAGTGTTTGAACATGTTATTATATTTTATTTAACTATTCATATTTCAAACTTCCTTTTTCAACTTTCTTAGTTAAGCAGCATACTGCTAAGACGGTACACCTAATTTTTACAGCTTATATACGCTCAAATATTACTAACTCATCGCCAACGACCATACCACGTTGAATACACCAGTTCTCGTCCGATCACTGAAGTTAAGCAACGTCGGGCGTAGTTAGTACTTGGATGGGTGACCGCTTGGGAACACTACGTGCCGTTGGCATTTTTTATTTGTAAAATATTATTCACTTTTTTTTTTTAGATTCTGAGTGAAACGATTTTACAATGATGTGTGTTTTTTTTTTTATTTTTTTTTTATTTTTTTATTTTTTATTTTTTTTGTGTCTGTGTACACGATAAGTAGTCGAAATAATGCTTCGATTTTCGACTTCAGTATCTTGTTCGATTGGAAAGTGAATATCGTTGGTGCATTGGGGAGGTCAAAATTTAAATTTCCCAGTAGTTTTCAAGAGCGCCGAGAAAAACAAAATAAAAATTAAGGAAAAACGGGAATTTTTACGCAAAATCGATTTTTCAGAAAATTGAATTTGGTTTTTGGTGTAACTTTAAAACAAATGACCGTAGGTACATGCAATTTTCACTGGTTGTTTATATTTGCATCTTCTATACACGATAACATTTTCAAAATATTTTGATTTATTTTGAACAGTTTAGGGACATTTTCATTTTAATTTTTTTTTAGTTTTTTTTCTAGAAATATCAATAAAATTTTATTTGTTGGTTGCGAAAGCTTGAAAATTTAATAGAGGCTCCTAATATATTGTTTCAAGGGCAGATGAAAAATATTAAAAATCCTTAGTCACAATTTTTTTTTATAAGCATTTAAAGTTCAAAAATTGACAAAATATGGAAAAATCACGAAAATTAGCAAATTATTTTGAGTTAAGAATTCGTAAAAATTTTTCTTTTTAAATCTAAGATTTGAAAATCTAATACAAGATTACTCATAAGATTGTCTACCTTTATCAATAAAAAAATCTCTACCGGAAAGTCAAATTAAATTTTTATGAGCGTTTGAAATTCAAATTTTTACAACATTGGATATTCACTCGATTTCTCATGTGGCAATTTCCTTTTTTTGTTGTAATTAAAAAACGAATTACTGTAGATACATGAAAATTTCACTGAATGTTTATATTAGCATTTCCTATACACCATACAATTTTGAAAATATTTTGACTCTTTTTGAGCCGTTTACGGACATTTTCAGTTTTCAATTTTTTTAGTTTTTTTTTCTATAAATATTAATTAAGTTTTATCTGTTGGGCCAAAAAGTGTAAAAATTTAATACAAGGCTCCTGATATATTGTTACAATATCAGTTGAAAAATATTAAAAATACATAGGCACAATTTTTTTTTATAAGCATTTTAACATCGAATTTTGACAGAATTTTTCAAAATCTCGAAAATTATTAATCATCGTAATTAATAAATTATAAAATGTTCAGTTTTTATAGCTAAGGATTGAAAATTTAAAACAAGATTTCACGTAAGTAGTTAATTCTCTTACCGAAAAATCTAAAAAATATACAATCACAGTTTATTTTTATAGTCATTTTATGTTCAAATTTTGACGAAATTACATATTAAAAAACCTAGTTATTTTGTTGTGATTATATAATATTATTCGTGGGTACCTACTTGAAACTTCTAAAGTGTACTATTATATATATATGATAGTATCAGGGTTTGTTGTTGGTGTATAACGTGTTATTAGTACCTAATGGATATTGTGATAATGTGATATGATTAATTTGGAATTTATTATAGGTCAATTTTTTTTTAATACCATAGATATGTATATAATTTGTCTTAACCTAGACTGACATACCGTCTTCGCTCAGAATCGTTTTTCTTATACAATGATATTGTATCATTGAATTCAAATTTAATAGCATCAATTATACAGTGACCCACTTGTAACCTACTGTACAGCAGAGCGACATCCACTTACCCACCTTTTTTTATTTATTTTTTTTGTGTCTGTGTACACGATAAGTAGTCGAAATAATGCTTCGATTTTCGACTTCAGTATCTTGTTCGATTGGAAAGTGAATATCGTTGGTGCATTGGGGAGGTCAAAATTTAAATTTCCCAGTAGTTTTCAAGAGCGCCGGGAAAAACAAAATAAAAATTAAGGAAAAACGGGAATTTTTACGCAAAATCGGTTTTCCAAAAAATCGATTCTGGTTTTTGGTGTAACTTTAAAACAAATGACCGTAGATACATGACATTTTCACTGGTTGTTTATATTTGCATCTTCTATACACGATAACATTTTCAAAATATTTTGATTTATTTTGAACAGTTTAGGGACATTTTCATTTTTCGTTTTTTTTAGTTTTTTTTCTAGAAATATCAATAAAATTTTATTTGTTGGTTGCGAAAGCTTGAAAATTTAATAGAAGGCTCCTAATATATTGTTTCAAAGGCAGATGAAAATTATTAAAAATCCTTAGTCACAATTTTTTTTTATAAGCATTTAAAGTTCAAAAATTGACAAAATATGGAAAAATCACGAAAATTAGCAAATTATTTTGAGTTAAGAATTCGTAAAAATTTTTCTTTTTAAATCTAAGATTTGAAAATCTAATACAAGATTACTCATAAGAT